ACTAACAAGTAATTTAGCAAGATTGCAGGATACAAGACCAATATAAAAAATTCAACTGCATTTCTTATATATTAGCCATACATAAATACAAGTAGATATGAAAATAAATTGCTGAGAGTGATATAAGACCTGAATCCTGAAAACCTTGCTGAGAGAAAGTAAAGAACAAGATAAATGGAGAGTTACTATGTTCATAGATCAGAAAACTCAATGTGGTTAAGATGTCAATTTTCCCAAATTGTTTACAAGTTCCATGAAATCCCAATCAAAATTGCAGTGGGCTTTTTTATAGCAATTGACATGTTCATCTTAAAATTTATATGAAAATGCAAAGAACCTAGATTAACCAAAACAATTTTGAAAAGGAGACTAAAGTTTGAAAAACTACCTAAAGTTAAAAACTACCCAATTCCAAGACTAATTATAAAGCTGTAAGTAACAGAGACAGTGTTGGTATTGGTATGAAAATAAACAAATATATCAATGGAACAGAACAGAGAGCCCAGAAATATGCACCCATAATATGGCCAACCAATACAGGGCAATTCAATAGGGAAAAAAATAGTTTATCAGCAGAAGGTGCTGGGAAAAGTGGATATCAATATGTCAAAAGGAACCTAAATCCATACCTAACACCCTATAAAAAATTAACTCAAAAAGAATTATAGACCTAAATGTAAAACCTGAAACTATAAGACTTATAGAATATATGAGACAATTTGTGACGTTGGGTGAGGCAACGATTTCTTACATACACTATCAAAAGCACAGTCCATAAGAGAAAATTTTGGGCAGGGCATAGTGGCTCATGCCTGTAATCCCAGCACTTTGGGAGGCTGAGGCGGGTGGATCACCTGAGGTCAGGAGTTCAAGACCAACCTGACCAATATGGCGAAACCCCATCTCTACTAAAAAATACAAAAATTAGGCAGGCATGGTGGCGGGCGCCTGTAATCCCAGCTACTTGGGAGGCTGAGGCAGGAGGACAGCTTGAACCCAGTGGGCAGAGGTTGCAGTTAGCCGAGATCGCATCGCACTCTGGGAGACAGAGCAAGACTCCATTCCCCCCGAAAAAAATTGTTTTGATAAATTGACCTACACCAAAATTAAATACTTTGCTCTGTGAAAAACACTATTAAAAATAGAAGAGACAAGGCATACACTAGGCAAAAATAATTGCATATCACATGTCATACAGAATTTGTATCAAAAATACATAAAATTTCTTAGAATTCAACCCAATTAAAATAATGTGCAAAAGATTTGGACAGATATTTCATCAAAGAAGACACAGATGGCAAATAAGCACATGGAAAAATGCCCGAAACCATTAGTCACTAAAACTTCAAGATACCACTCTATGCCTAAAAGAAAGCCTACAATTTAAAAAGACTGATACTACCAGGTACTGGCAAAGATGTAGAGTGAAGCAATCGGAAGTCACATAAAGTTATGGTGGCAATGGAAAATGGTGTAAACACTTTAGAAAACAGTTGGGTAATTTCTTAAAAAATTAAATGTGTACCTATCATATGACCCATTTAGTCCATTCTGAACTACTTATTTACCCAAAAGAAATAAAAGTGGTTCATATAAAGACTTCTACAAAAATGTTCACAGCAGCCTTACTCATAATAGCCAAAACCTGGAAATAATTGTTTATTAACAGGTTAACAGATAAATAAATTGCTATACATCATACAATGGACTACCCATTAGCCAACAAAAAGAAATAAAGATGCAACAGCATGGATGAATCTTGAAATAATCATGCTGAGTAAAAGAAGTCAGACAGAAAAGAGCACATATTGTAGGATCCCATTTCGATTAAATTCTAAAGGGCACAACCTACTGAATAGTGACACAAGGCAGCTGAATGTACCTGGCGATGGAAGAGGACAGGATGGAGGGTTACACAGTGGTGTAAACTGTGAGGGTGATAAATGTGTTCATTATTTTGATTGTGGCGACGGTATACTCACATATTAAAGTTTATCAAATTGTATACTTTAAACACTGTAGTTTACCATCAATTAGACCTCACTAAAGTGATTAAAAAAGAAACCCAACCACACTTTCTTTTGAAAACAAAAGACGATTCTCAAGTTCCTGTGGAAAAAACAATAAGCAAGTGAGAATAGTCAGGAGAATGCTTAAAAAAGCCCCTAGCAGAATAAAAAGAGAAAGAAACTGTTGAGACAGAGTTTTAATAACTGGGGTCTTAATAACATGATAAAGCTACATAGAGTACTAAATTATAGTAATAATAAATGAACCAACAGAGATCAATGATATTAACCTGAAAGCCCAGACAAAATATATATATATATATATAAAAAGAATACATTCACATACTACAGACTAGTCACAGTGGCTCATGCCTATAATCCCAGCACTTTGGAAGGCTAAGGTGCGAGGTAAGGTGCGAGGATTGCTTAAGCCCAAGAATTCAAGGCCAGCCTAGGCAACATGGCAAGACTCCCATCTGTACGAACTATTTAAAAATTAGCCAGGCATGGTGGTATACATTTGTGGTTCAAGCTACTTAGGAGGCTGAGGCAGGAGGATCTCTTAAGCCTAGGAGTTTGAGACCAGCCTGGGCAACATAAAAAGACTGTCTATACAAAAAAATTTAAAATTAGCTGGGTGTAGTGATGCAAGCCTGTAGTCCTAGCTACTCAGGAGGCTTGGGTCTGTGACGCTGAGGCTGCAGTGGGCCATGACCACACCAAAGCACTCCAGCCTGGGTAACAGAGCGAGATCCTGTCTCAAGACAAAACAAAAAGAATGACCTTCCAAGAAACCATGTGGCAGTTGTAATCCATAAAAATGACTCAATTATAACACTTATGAATCTATCTTATGAAAATAAAAAGCGTGAGCCAAGAATTATTTCAAAGTTGTTCAGTGTGGAGTTCTTTATAAAATGAGCAAAGTACAAAACTACTTAGATATTGAAAAAACTACGACTTCAATAATGGTATGATATTTAAATAATAAATATGAAATCTTTGAAAAAATTTAATGACAAAATTTATATAAAGTACCTCACTTAAGCAATCCTCCTGCCAAAAATTATATAAAGTACAACTAAAAAGGTTTATACACATGATTTTTAAATGACTAGAAGGAAACTACTGAGGAGGTTAACAAAGGTTTTTTATGGGTTAGTAGAATTCTGGTATGTTATGTACTTTTCATTCTAAATTTTCTACAATGCATACTACCTTTATTATGAAAAGAAAAACATAAATGCCATGTGTATGTATTTTTCACATCACACAAAATCTATTTTTAACAAACACATGATTAAAATTTATGGAAAGTTTCTCACTTTTAAGGTCCATATGTAGTAAATCAGTTAGCCAACTGAGAAAATAAGATCATCATAAAAGGAAAATCCGGAATATTACCTGGCTTATTACTCCTGTCTGAATTCCCCAAAGCATTTCACAGGTGACTATGATTTTCAATTTGACTATTGTCTAAGATACAGAAGAAAATAAAGTTTAGAGAAGCCAGTCTTCCTGAAGAACCCAGCTCTTCACTTACCATCTTCTGCTAAGACCTTGGCTGCATCTTTATCATCTTCCCACTTTCCAGTCACGAAGCAATCTCTGATACTGTTCATAACCTTACGCAGAAAAGTCAGCACTTAGGTGAGATGTTCCAATCACTCAGCAAAACAACTCTAAGAAATGGCAGTAGGCAACAACTTGCCTTTAAATATTTTCCACCTTCATGAATATTCTAATTCCAAATGAGCCCAGGAAATAACTTTACCTTTGATGGAGACAGTATAACCACAGAGATAAAACACATTAAGCAGCAGACAGGGAAAGTATTAAATACTACTACTCTACTAACCTCGTAAGTAAACAAACAGATAATTACTAATTCAACTAATTTTCAATTGTATTAAGGTTTCTAAGGCGATGCAATGAGACAGTAGTTTACAAAGTTGGTCTTGCTATTTGTTAATCTAAACCTGTCTGTTTGAAAACTTAATTCCCATAAAATGGGAAAAGATATTTGTAAATTATGTATCTGATAAGGGACTTATATCCAGAATATATAAACAACGCATACAACTAAGTAATTTAATTTTTGAAATGGGCAAACAATATGAAGTATATATACAAATAGCCAATAAGCACATGAAAAGATGTTCAACATCATTATTAGGGAAATGCAAGTCAATACTATAATGAGACACAATTTCACCCTCTCTAGGATGGCTACAATCAAAAAGACAGATAATAACAAGTGCTGGTGAAGAAGTGGTGAAACTGGAACCCACATACAGTGCCAGTGAGTAAGTAAAATGGCACAGTCACTTTTGAAAAGAGAAATGAGAGAGTATAAAGCAAATGAATAATTATGCGATTCTCTAATTTCATCATCTTCTGATTCAACCAGGGAATAATTCTCCAGTGGAAGAATGAATAAGATGTAGTCCTGAATGTGAACTGGAAATATCTATAAGAACTCTCCTGGTTCGGGTAGCTGAGAAGGCCTAGAAGTAATGACCAACTCATGGCAGTAAGCATTCCTATGCCTAGGCTGTCATGTTGAAATACCATTTTGTACTAAAAGAAATCAGGACTTCTTATGGGTGATTCCAAGTGCTCTCTCATATCACAGAGCAAGAATTGATCCAGAACGACCACGATTGTAACACAAGGACTCAGGAGCTGGTGTGCACAGACGCTCACAGGCCACAGGTGGGATAAAGAGGAGCTTCAATAACGGATAACAGGTGCAGGAGCACAAGGCACATCAACTACATTTATATCCATGACATCACAGTGATACTCACAAACAAGTATCCTTTGGAGAATCACTCCAAAAACTGATTAAAAAATCAAGCATGGGCTGGGCGCAGTGGCTCACTCCTGTAATCCCAGCACTTTGGGAGACCAAGGCAGGTGGATCACAAAGTCAGGAGTTTGAGGCCAGCCTGACCAACATGGTGAAACGCCATCTCTACTAAATATACAAAAAAAATTAGCCAGGCATGGTGGCGGGAGCCTGTAGTGTCAGCTACTTGGGAGGCTGAGGCAGAAGAATGGCATGAACCTGGGAGGCAGAGCTTGCAGTGAGCCAAGATCGTGTCACTGCACTCCAGCCTGGGTGACAGAGCGAAACTCCGTCTCAAAAAAAAAAGAAAAAAAAATCAAGCATTTACCCTACATACATGGAAGTGAATAACCAAATAGTAGAAGAGGAAAAGTTTCTCTTTAAAGTATTACAGCTAATACATAAAGAGAAATGATTGAATAGAACATCACCACTCTACGTTCTTAAGAAATTGATGGTTCTAGGCATTGAGCACCAACAACTGATAACATCTAACATCATTAAAAGGACACAACCAGTCTTTATGCGCCTCCTAATGAGAAAACACCACCACTTAGGAAGCAGTTTTGCTGAAAAATAAAAATCAAATTTAAATCCTGTCCAACCGCTAGATGTTTTGTCTACAGGGTAACTACAAATACGTGGCTATTTAAATTAATCTTAACAAAGATTAAATAAAATTTAAAATCTAGTTCTCCAGTCTCATTAGCCACATTTAAAGAGCTTAGTAGCCACAAGTAGCCACAACCCACAGCTCAGATATACATTCCGCTCATCACAGAAGTTCTATTAGTATTGCTCAGTACCCACTCACAGGAAATACAGGAGGGCCTGTGAAACTGCAGAGGGATGCAAAGCAATCCACAAAGTCCAGAATACAAGAAACTCTACAGACCAAAGACTTGGTTTATTAAACAAAATGTAACCAAAAAAAGAAATGGGAAGGAAAGACTGTTCACTAAAAATGTTAAAAGGTAAGACTGAAAAACAGTAAGGAAAATCAGGTAAAAGTAAACTGTGATGCTTATAGAAGCATGGAGGAAGAAACCAGGAAGAAAAGGAAAGCATCACCTTAAGAAGCTGGACCACACCTCCTTCTACAGGGAGGAAGGGGACTGTGGCTGGTGTCACAATTGAGCAGCAAAGCTTGATTTCCCAGCCTGAGTGTTGAGTACAGGGGTCTTCACCTTCTGGCAACCCATTAAGCTAAACAATTGTTTTTACGTGGTTTTCTATATCTGTATTAAATTTCACCATAAAAAATGGTTAAATAAAATCTCATAAAGTGCACTAAGTGTTATCTGGTGAATTACAATAGGCAGTATGATAGCAATTGGGCCTCTGTGAGAAGTGACATCTAAGCCAAACTGAATTGACAAAAGAGAAGGCAGCCTTTGGAAGATGAGAATATTCCAGAAGGGAATACAGAGAAAGGGGCTGGCGCGATGGTTCACTCCTATAATCCCAGCACTCTGGGAGGTTCCAAGGCAGGAAGATCACGCGAACCCAGAGTTCGAAAGTAGCTCAACATGGTGAAACATTATCTCTACAAAAAATGCAAAAATTAATCAGGCCTGGTGGCTCATGCCTATAGTCCCAGCTACTCTGGAGGCTGAGATGGGAAGATCTCTTGAGCCCAGGAGGCTGCGGCTGCATTGAGTCATACACTTGTGCCACTACATTCCAGCCTGGGCTGCTGAACAAGACCATATCTCAAAAAGAGAGAGAGAAAGAGAAGAGGTCTCAGAGGAGGGTGAGCTGTGGTGAGTTTGAGTACTGAATGAATTCCAGTGTGATTACAGAGTGGTGAGTTGCAGGAAGAACATTTACAGGTATCACAGATTTCTCTATGCTTACAAACAGCAGGAACTATAAATGTTAACTCAAGGGTGCTACGTATATCCTAGTGATAAGACACAAAATACATCTGATGTATAAAAACTTATGTGTGATGCTTCAAAATAAAGATGCACACTACTGTCCACACTGGAAGCTGAACCTGTCCTCCGTGGGCCACGTACATGGTCTAACTAAACTCAGAACATGTTACTGTTTAGGATGCATGAAGTGCCCACTGCAATATCTGGAAGAATGACCTGTAATCCTGTAAAAATGAGAAGCCAACAATAGGTAAGCAATATTGACATCAGATAATCTTATTCTAGAACAATTCTCTAATTCTCTAATAAATCAAATGTACTACCCAGCCTTACCTCCTCTAAATCCCAGTCATGGGGGGCCTCCACAAGAAATCTAGAACAGTCCAAAGAGTCAGCCTTATGCTTACACTCTCTGTCAGGCTGGTTGACACGAAACAACCCTCCAAGCTCTTCTTGGGTATCACCATCTTCTTCTTCATTATCTTCTGCCACTAAAGAGGACACCATGGTAGAAAAGTGAGAACAAAAACTACAGCCCTAGAAGACCCATCATTTTTAACCAGTTAGGCCATGAGTCTTCGAACTCAGGAACTGAGAGCCTCTGTCTGTGATGGGTATGGCAATAGCCACATATGAGTTAGGCATTGAGAGGGCAGGGCAGTCACAGATTAAGAGAGCCAGGAAGCTATTGCTGTACATGTGTGGGGCTCCTGCACTCCTGCACAACAGCAGCTAAGAGGCTGAGAAGGAGTGAGAATATTGGCGGTGGAGGGAGGGAAGGGACATTTAAAGGCTGAGCTTTAGATTACTAAAGAAGAGCGCTAAAGAATGTTGAGCCTCTCATCACTAAGAGTACCTAGACAAAACCTGAATGAAAAACAGTATACAACAACCTTCCCAATTCACTGGGCTGAGCCCAAAAGTCTCACCATGTGGCCTTGATCTCCCCATGCGGTAACCAGGGAGTACAATGTAAAGTTCATCACTATATATTTATTTTTGCATTAATTCTACCAGAAAGAATATATAGGTAAGTTTAGCAAAGCATAAAATCAGAGGACAAGGGCAAAAGGGAGAACAAAATGTGTTATACAGTGTTCTAATTCTCAGAAAGCAAAAAAGTAAATATTTTTATGGGCAGAAATATTTTTTTGGCACTAATCTACAAAAAAATTCTCATGAAGGACTTTTAAATAGGGAACATAACATAATGCAATGGACAGCATTTGCATCAAGTTTTACAGCAAACCCATTAAGTCTACTTTATAAGACCAATGTGTAGTCCTCATAAGCTGATGATTAGAGACATCCGTCAAACATGAAATGTGATGGACAGCAATTATGGATGTCAACAATACCAGCCCAATCCTCCAACCAATTCCCTCATCTAAATAATCAGAGAAACTAAAACATTTCCAGCTCTGAGCCAGAATTATTTACCTGTCCCATAAATAAGCTTTCGGAGGTTTGGAGCTGCTTGCTGCTGCCTCAGAAAGGCCTCAGCTGCCTTTCTGGAAAGGTCTTCCTTCCACTTGAGGGCACCTGAAACGACCAAAGCCAACCTCCAGTTAGGCTTGTTTACATGCCTCCCCTCCCTCAAGATCCATCCACAATGCAGCATTTCAACAGTTAACAAAATCACAGAATCAACAGACCCCCAAATGGAGACATTCCATTGGGTACCATTTCGAGAGCCAAGTTGATAGCAGCAACCAACTAAATTTAAGCTTACCTGAGGTTTCTTTGGAATCATTATTTTCTTCCTTGTAATCTTCTTCCTCTTTGAGTAAATCTTCTATATCACTGGTCTCATCAATTAAGTTCCTTGGCCCCAGTTTCTGACCACTGCTCACTTGAGAAGGCTTTGAAAGCTTTTTTCTAATAGCCTCTTCATTTTCTGAGTCCTCTTCCTCTGCACCGAGTGAGGAGCTTTCTTCAGATTCATCTTCAGATGCAAACGCCTCTTCAGCTGTGCAATGTCCAGAATCAGAAGTGGGGAGAGCTGCTTTCTTCATCAGCAAAGACTTCACCAGATTCACACGGTCACTCTGGCGATTAGCTGGCGACAGCTCTGCTTTACTACCGTCTCCAACAGCCTTTGATTCTGAAATGCCCCCCTCTCCTGCAGTGCAGTCCTCTTCTTCACTGCTTTCATCAGCTTCCTCTGCTTCCCCTTCTTCCGCTGAGCTCCTCTCAAGGTCATCGTCACTGTCAGCAAATGCTGGCAAATCCATTTCACTGTCTTCTTCCAACTCTTCAAGTTTCCGTCGTTTGACGCCCTTACCAGCCATATACTGATCAGTCATCTCAGCATTTTCCTCCTCTTCTGCTTCCTCATCACTAGAGCCGTTTTCCAACTCGTCATCTTCGGATATTTCATCATTTTCTTCATCATCACTATCTCCAGATTCATCTTCATCTCCAAAAATGGCTTTCCGACGCATTCGCCCAGTTTTTAAGTCCATTTGTTTTTCCTCCTTTGGCATCAATACCCTGTATTACCAAGGAAATACAAAATAATTCAATTTGTACATTAATCAGCTAATCTAGAAATGGCAATACAGTCAATGAAAAATACAAAGAAACAGAAAATGTCAAGGAATTGTTTAAGATGACATAGCATAGGGAAAAAATGATCTGATAAACACTGGAAGAATTAATAAGCAAACTCGGACATGGTTCCCTAACACCACACTTCAAAAAAACTTAGAGAGAGAATAAAGGAATAACCCTTAAAAAACAAAAATCTAATTTTAGAAAAAAATTGCTCAAAAGGGAAGTTAGTGTTTTGTAGATTTTTTTGAAAGCTGATTAATTTCTAAGCTAAAAATACATGATCCTTAAGAGAAATGGCTGAGTCCAGGCCCAAGGCAGAAAGAGGGCAAAATGAGCCTGGATCCTCTTGTTCTGTCAGAAAGTAAGAAATGCTCAAAGACTAACAGAGACAGTTGAAAGGACACAGGAGACAGGCTGAAGGCTCCTGCGGCCAAATCTGGGACAGCATAGGCATCAGGAAGAATAATGATAGTGATGGAAAATAACCCATGGAACAAAACGCAAGTGCATTAGTCAGCAGTGATACGGAAATAAAGGGGAGAAGTGAAAGCTCTTTTGTTAAAAATGCCAGCTAACAAATGTAGGAGGAATGACAGAGGAAGAACATCCATTTTAAGTCACCAGTGTCATATCTGATAGAGAAGAATCATCAGGAGGCTAAAATCACAGTATAAAAGAAAGCTGTATGAAGCTATTTAATGTAGCAAGATATATAAAATTATGAAAACATAAATTTGAAAAAACTGAAAATCACACCAAAAGAGATGGATAAGTTAGAATATAGCAATAATAGGCCAGGCATAGTACCTCACATCTGTAATCCCAGGACTTTGGGAGGCTAAGGCAGGAGGATTGCTTGAGCCCAGGAGTTCAAGACCAGCCTGGGAAACACAGTGAGACCTAATCTCTAGAAAAAAAAAAAATTAGATGGGAGTGGTGGCGCACTCCTGTAGTCCCAGCTACTTGGGGGGCTGAAGCGGGAGGACCACTTGAGCCTGGGAGTTCAAGGCTGAAGTGAGCCCAGATCATACCACTGCACTCTAGCCTGGGAGACAAAGCAAGATCTTGTCACACACACAAAAATGAATACACCAATAATAACAAAATGGTGACTACATAAAGACTGTATAGAAAAAGGAAATGCTCAGAATATAGAAATAAAATTATGTATTTTAACTGTAACTATAGTAGAATAGAGTATTCTTATAGATAAAGATGACTAGAAGGATATACAAAAATGAAAATCGCTAGTAACTTCATTATAAAGGAGTGATCTTTCGGCGAACACTTTGCATCTGTCAGGCATTCTGCTAGGTAGTTTATGCACATTGTAACAAATTACAAACTAGATAATCTCAAAATTTTCAGATAAATTTTACTGGGAGTCATAAATCAATACAACAAAACCAATGTTTTGCAAACATCGACTATGTATAAAGGTATACAAATTCCCAACCCAGACTGAAAAATAATTCACATAAGCCATACGTCCATGGAAACCTACCCATGGGAGATAATACAGCATAATCTAAATAAAACTTTCAGAGACAAGGCATGTGGCTTCTGGACAGCCACAAACTCCTTGACTCTGCTCTAGTGTTTTGGCCACCAAAAGAAAGCCAAGTGGCCTCACGTCTCTTAAAAAACCAAAGGCAACCTATGGAAGATGGCGTGGTATTTGAGGAATATTTGGGGTCTGTTGAAAAATGCATCCTGTATTTTATTTCAAGAAAAGACTCCCTTGTAATGTCAGGTAAGTGAAGAGCCCTCAGAGACATGCACACACAAAGAAAAACAAAACAACATAGAATGAATCCCACCAAAATGTGTTATGATGGCTGAATTATGGGTGATATGATCTTCTGTAATACATCTTTTTATTAAAAATAGAGAAAAAGCAGACTTACCCTTGATTATCTATATCCTCTGACCCAAGTGGCTTGGAATCAGAAAACAGTGTCACTCGACTTGAAGCCATCTTGGCATCAATGGTGGAGATGGTGGAGATGAGACTCTGGACCAGCTCATGGGTGGGCCCCACCTCGTCCTGTCAAGACCACCAAGAAAGAGCATGTGAGAAAAGCACAAAGATCCTGGAGAGACACTGGTTTCATTCAGTTTCTCAAAATTATCTTAGACACATTTCCTAAGAACCTTTCTTAATGCCTCAAAAAGCAGAGAAGAAAATCCTTACAACAAAGCTTGAAATGGATCCCCATCTCCATTAAACTTTTCCAAAGTTCAGGGAGTATGTAACCTGATAACCTAAACACCTAGCTAGAAAAACCTCAGCTCCAATGCTACAACAATGCTAGCTCTTCTAACATTTTAAAATAACCCTAATTTTAACCCAATAAAATTCCACTTCAGAACTAAGAAATTAATACTTGAAATCCACTTTAAAATACAGAATGAGGAGACCATTGTGAATGAGAAAAAGACCAATGAGAGCTGGCAAGCACACTGATTTTGTAGAAACGGGGATGGGCCATGCAGGCACCACATGGCAGCAGGGCCCGCGCTGGGGCCATGGATCAAGGAGGAATGGAGGACAGGACTCTTCTGCTTGGTACAATGAAAACAAAGTATTTTTTTAATGCTATATATTTACAATATGCATTTGGGCCTTTATTATAAGTACAAGAGAAAAATCTTCAATAAATAAAAGCTGACTACATTATTTTTTGTGATTAAAAAATAGACTCGGAAAGAATAATGAGAGTTCAGAGAAATGACGCCCATCTCACCGATACCTGAAAACCATGGCTGCCACCAAGGTCAACATAGACAGAGTCTTTGTCATACAGCACACCCCCAACTCCAGAAAGAGGCGCATAAACCAGCTTCTCCTTCTCATTTAAACAGCGCTTCTTTTGTTGTTCAGGAAGAGCACAAGGGTCTGGGAGGAAACTGATGTCACTCACAGCAAAATCTCCTACCCCTGGAAGACAGGATCCAAAAGCAAGCTTTAGCTGACAAGAAGTCAGAAGTATCTACTGTTGACTGGGGGGTTAAAAACGAGCCATAGTCCAAGGGCTTAACCCATGACACTAAAGAAGGGCATTGTGCCACACTGGAACAGTGGCCCTCTAGCTACAAGACAAGAGGTCAGAGAAGAGGGGATTTGATAACACCTTTGCAGGCCTACACACATCTGGGTTACTTTAAAAACCTCCAGCGAGGCCATCTTCCCTTGTTTGGTCATTTTTCAGTTTTCCTGAGAAATGAAGTCATCCCAAGAATCCTATGTGCAATTCTAGTATGTTCTACAACAAGAGAATACCTGGCATGTGAATTTGGCTTTTATTTTTCAAGTGTGCTCCTCTTAAATAACCATAAAGTGACACCTTCCGGTCACATTTGATGTTTGTTCGGATATCCTCTGGGTTTGTCAAATCTTCCATCCTAGAAAAATAAACTCAATCATGCAGCAGAAATGAATGCCAAAGTTCCTATACCTCCTTTCAGGTGTCAATGACTCATCACACTATTGTCCACTAAGCACATCATTTAGAAAACTAGAAAATGCAGAAATAAAGAAGCACCATTCCCCATCCACCAGAGGAAAACGGGCAGGCACACAACTGTGTCTCTAGGCTGAAAGTGACATTTTCATTCCAGAAGACACCAGACAGGGAGATGATGTCCACCTGGGGTCGGGGAAGAGTGAAGAACATATTCAGAAAATCCCTTGCTGGAAGAGAGTGAGCCTGTGCTTTGGGATTTTTACTGTGGCTTGGATTCTGGCAGGTGGAAAAAGGGTATTCCAGGCTGAGAAAACCACATGAGGAAGAGCACAAAGGAAGGAAACTGAAGGCCGTGAAGGCACACACGAAGGACTCAAGTACCCGGGCACGAAGGCAGCATCACTCAAAACTGAGGCTGAACGTAGGATGTAGCCTTAAATGCTTCCAAGTCCTCCCATTTTCCTAAACATCTCATAATTAATTTACTCCCAAAGGCACAGCATCTTTGAGCAATGATATACGTAGATATTTTCCATCAACTACAGTTCTATCCCCACTATTCAAACAGGCACAAAATAAATCCTATCACTGTTCTTTTTCTAGCCTTTTTAGCTTTGAAATAAATGGCCCAAGAAGAAAAAATTTACAATCACTTTTTACCTGTCTGCCAGGACATAAGGGTGAGAAGTTTGCCATGTGAGAGGCCTAAACTTCATAACTGTAATAAAACGGCCCAGATTGTGGATTTCTTGGTTTTGATATTCTCCATGCACCATTCCAGAAAGGTAGAACAGCTTGGCACCCTAAACATTAGAGCAAAATTAAAAATTAAATTTCAATTAAATTCTCATCAATACTGCAACAAAAGAAAAGTTCTAAACAAGAAGCAATCCTAAGAAGGGAGACTTCCAGCAAAGCCACTGTCCTGAGGCTTCCAGGGCCTTGCTGGCTTCTTTCAGGACTTATTAGAACCCCACAGAGGCAGACTGCTCTGCAGTTGAGCCGGGGCATCCATCTAAGTATGGTGAGGAGAGGGAGGTGAGGCGTCTGAGCACAGAAACGGTTCTGTGGCCGATGGACCAGAACAGTATAGAAAGGAAGGGGCAGTGCCTGGTCCTGTAACTAGCAGAAATTTCTGATGTACTCAATTATATAAAGTCCCGACCCCAAAACAGCCAGACACTGCCTGGCGCAGCAGGTACAGAGACAAATGAGATACACCAGGAGGCCCAGAACAAGCACTCTCTTGAGGGAAACCTTCCAGAAGACTGAACACACACACAAAGGAATTCAGCAGGCCAGAGACTGAACACATACACAAAGGAATTCAGCAGGCCATAGACTGTGAACACACACACACAAAAGAATTCAGCAGGCCAGAGGCTGAACACACACACAAAGGAATTCATCAGGCCATAGAGTGTGAACACACACACACAAAGGAATTCAGGAGGCCATAGAGTGTGAACACACACACACAAAGGAATTCAGGAGGCCAGGGACTGTGAACATACACAAACGGAATTCAGGAGGCGAATCCTAGAGAGACGTTTAGGAATGTCTCTTCAGTATTTTTACTTACTTATTTTTTTGAGACAAGAGTCTCACTCTGTCACCCAGGCTGGAGTGCAATGGCGTGATCTCAGCTCACTGCACCCTCTGCCTCCTAGGTTCAAGCAATTCTCACTTCTCAGCCTCCTGAGTAGCCGGGATTACAGGCACGCACCACCACACCCGGCTAATTTTTGCATTTTTAGTACAGATGGGGCTTGGTCATGTTGCCCTGAGCTCAAAACTCCAGGCTCAAGTGATCCGACCGCCTCTGCCTTGCAAAGTGCTGGGATTACAAGTGTTAGCCACTGCGCCCGGCCTCTTCAGTCTATTTTAAAAGGATTATACTGCTAGTATCCAACAATCATTTCTCCTCTTACCGGGTAAACTTCTGTCCAGAACCTGTGTTTTAATCGCTTCTTTGTCTTCTTCAGTTGCTTATTATGCTTGAAGGAGTCGAGGTGGGTGAGAACTCCCATAATTTTAGGAAAGCCATGTACTTGACAGATGTTTAGAAACTCAAATGTTTCCATTTCGAACCCAAAGCTGGCATCTATAAGCATCAGTACCTACAAACAGAACACATCATTTTTCAAAGAAACTACCAAAACAGACCACCTACACTAGGGGTTGGCAACTGGCCACGGGCAAAATCCCGCCCATCACCTGTGTTTGTAACTGAAGTTTTATTGGAACATAGCCACATTAACTCATTTACATTTTGTCTATGGTTGCCTGTGCACTACAACTGCAGAGCTAAGTAGCTATAAAAGATATGATCCACAAAGCCAAAAATATTTACTATCTGGCCCTCAACAGAAAAGTTGCACTCCAGACTAAATCAAATAACTACATAGGCATCACCCAGACAGAGAAACCACCACACTCTGACTTGCTCTAAAAGCCAATCATAAGACAATGTCCACTAGGATGCAAACTTCCATTATAAGAATTTTAATGTATGAGAAGTAACTCAGAAAAGGCTGGGTCTCACCTGGCCCTTACCTAAGAAATTCTAATTTAAAGAAATCAAGTTTTCTGTAAGGTATTTTTAAGCCAAATAACAGGTCTCTGACATCCAAAGAATGGGAAGAAAGTGATAATCAATGAAATATATTAAATATGTACAGAAAACCAGTCTCTTCTTTCAATCTCCTCATAGAAAAAAAAATCTGTTTTTTGCTGAGAAGTATGCAGTGGAAACCTCTATCTTATATATTAATTTGGATAACTCAATTGTTAAGAAATTTTTTTAAAATAGCTGCCATTTTAGAATTAGGTCAAAAAAACAGTAAGATTATGATGATTGGTAGTGTGTAAGAAAAAATAAGCAGATGAGACCAATTTTTAACTTTTAAGATGCTTCAAAGATGCAAAATAATTTCAGAATTGATTCCTGGAAACTTCTAGTTTAAGTATTAAAAACATTTCTGTTCTTATCTTTGCATAGATAACTAAAATTAACAACAAAGAAAAATGGAAACAGAAATGCCCATCTTTGGCCGGGCGCGGTGGCTCAAGCCTGCAATCCCAGCACTTTGGGAGGCCGAGACGGGCGGATCATGAGGTCAGGAGATCGAGACCATCCTGGCTAGCATGGTGAAACCCCGTCTCTACTAAAAAATACAAAAAAAAAAACTAGCCGGGCGAGGTGGC